TCAAGGATCCCGGGGAGGGGGTGCTGGGACCCCGGGGGAGGGTTTTGGGACCCCAGGGGGTGACAGGAGCCCCAGAGGGGGGATCAAGGACCCCGGGGGGGGGCACAGGGACCCCATAGAGTTGTCGAAGGACCCCATGGTTCAGGGACCCCAGGGGGACACACAGGGTCCGTGGGGTTGGGGGGTGTCAGAAGGGTCCCCCCTGCTCCCCCAAGCTGCAGGGTGTACTGACCCCATGGGGGGAAGGGGGGGTGTCTTCCCTTGCACCCCCAGGTTCCGGGGGTGGGGGGCACCCCATGGCGATGCGGGGGGGCTCGGTGCTGGAGCCGGGCTGGCTCCTCTCCCCCGCCGGCCGCCCCTACCTGGACTCCATCCTCCAGAAGAACCAGCGCAGAGTGTTTGGTGAGTCCCCCTCCCTCCACCCCCCAAAAAATAGGGTGCCAGCACCCCCAAAAAACCCTCAAACACCCCTTCTTCCCCCCAAAAAAAAGGTCTGCTGGAGCACCCGGTGCTGCCCCCCACCTTGGCCGCCCCCACCGTCACCTACAAACTCTTCCTCTCGGGCAAGAGCGGGGTGGGGAAGACCACCTTGGTGGCCACGCTGGCCGGGACCCCCGTGCCCCCCGTCCACCACGAGACCCTGGGTAGGTGATGGTGTGGGGGGGACGGGGGGGACACACACCCCTCCCCGATGTCACCTGGGGGGGGACAATGTCATGTGTCCCCCCCACACACCCCATCTTTTCCAGGCATAGAGGCCACCACCGTCTACTGGCCGGCCAAGCTGCAGGCCACCGGCCGCCCCGTCATCTTCCAGCTCCATTTTTGGGATTGTGGGGATGGCGCCCTGAAAAAATTCGAGCATCTCCTGCCCGTGAGTCAGGGTTGGGGGGACAAGTCGGGGTTGGGGGGGGACACACACACCTAGGACCCCCCCCCCCACGTCTGTGCCTTCCCTCCCAGTCTTGTAAGGAGGAAGCGGATGCCATCCTCTTCCTCTTCTCCTTCACCGACCGCTCGTCCTTCGAGGAGCTGCCGGCCCAGATGAGCCGGGTCGTCGGTCCCGACGAAGAAAACCTCGTTAGGGTGGTCGTCGGCACCAAGTATCCTTCTCGGAGTGGGGGGGAGTGGTGGGGGGGGTCCACATCCCTCCCATAAGCAGGTTTGCACCCCTGTGTTTCACACCAGTAGGCTGAGAACATACACATTTCGTTACACCAATGGATTTTCCACTTGCACCTATTTCGTCAGGGTTTTGCCCCCCCTGCCCCCACCCCGTGGGGGATTTCTCAGGGTGTTGGTGTCTCCTTTGACCCTGTCCCCCCTCCAACAACTGGATTTGCACCCCCTTATTTCTCGCCACGAAGTACCTTGGTAGGCTGAGAACATGCACACTTCGTTACACCAAGGGATTTTCCGCTTCCACCTATTTCTTTAGGGTTTTGCCCCCCCTGCCCCCACCCCAGGGGTGATTTCTCAGGGTGTTGGTGTCTCCTTTGACCGTGTGTGTCCCCCAACAACTGGATTTGCACCCCCTTATTTCTCACCACGCACTACCTTGGTAGGCTGAGAACATGCACACTTCGTTACACCGATGGATTTTCCACTTCCACCTATTTCTTTAGGGTTTTGCGCCCCCCAACCCCCGCCCCAGGGGGGATTTTTCAGGGTGTTGGTGTCTCCTTTGACCGTGTGTCCCCCTCAAGAACTGGATTTGCACCCCCTTATTTCTCACCATGCAGTACCTTGGTAGGCTGAGAACATGCACACTTCGTTACACCGATGGATTTTTCCACTTCCACCTATTTCCTCAGGGTTTTGCCCCCCCCTACTCCTGCCCCAGGGGTGATTTCTCAGGATGTTGGTGTCTCCTTTGACTGTGTCCCCCCCCCAACAAGTCGATTTGCACCCCCTTATTTCTCGCCAGGCAATACCTTGGTAGGCTGAGAACATTCACACTTCATTACACCGATGGATTTTTCCACTTCCACCTATTTCTTCAGGGTTTTGCCCCCCCACCACCACCCCCGGGCTGGCTCCTCTCCCCCGCCCGCCGCCCCTACCTGGACTCCATCCTCCCGAAGAACCAGCGCAGAGTGTTTGGTGAGTCCCCCTCCCTCCACCCCCCAAAAAATAGGGTGCCAGCACCCCCAAAAAACCCTCAAACACCCCTTCTTCCCCCCAAAAAAAAGGTCTGCTGGAGCACCCGGTGCTGCCCCCCACCTTGGCCGCCCCCACCGTCACCTACAAACTCTTCCTCTCGGGCAAGAGCGGGGTGGGGAAGACCACCTTGGTGGCCACGCTGGCCGGGACCCCCGTGCCCCCCGTCCACCACGAGACCCTGGGTAGGTGATGGTGTGGGGGGACGGGGGGGACACATACACCCCTCCCCGATGTCACCTGGGGGGGGACAATGTCATGTGTCCCCCCCCCACACCCCATCTTTTCCAGGCATAGAGGCCACCACCGTCTACTGGCCGGCCAAGCTGCGGGCCACCGGCCGCCCCGTCATCTTCCAGCTCCATTTTTGGGATTGTGGGGATGGCGCCCTGAAAAAATTCGAGCATCTCCTGCCCGTGAGTCAGGGTTGGGGGGACAAGTCGGGGTTGGGGGGGGACACACACACCTAGGACCCCCCCCCCCACGTCTGTGCCTTCCCTCCCAGTCTTGTAAGGAGGAAGCGGACGCCATCCTCTTCCTCTTCTCCTTCACCGACCGCTCGTCCTTCGAGGAGCTGCCGGCCCAGATGAGCCGGGTCGTCGGTCCCGACGAAGAAAACCTCGTTAGGGTGGTCGTCGGCACCAAGTATCCTTCTCGGAGTGGGGGGGAGTGGTGGGGGGGGTCCACATCCCTCCCATAAGCAGGTTTGCACCCCTGTGTTTCACACCAGTAGGCTGAGAACATACACATTTCGTTACACCAATGGATTTTCCACTTGCACCTATTTCGTCAGGGTTTTGCCCCCCCTGCCCCCACCCCGTGGGGGATTTCTCAGGGTGTTGGTGTCTCCTTTGACCCTGTCCCCCCTCCAACAACTGGATTTGCACCCCCTTATTTCTCACCATGCAGTACCTTGGTAGGCTGAGAACGTGCACACTTCGTTACACCAATGGATTTTCCGCTTCCACCTATTTCTTTAGGATTTTGCCCCCCCTGCCCCCACCCCAGGGGTGATTTCTCAGGGTGTTGGTGTCTCCTTTGACCGTGTGTGTCCCCCAACAACTGGATTTGCACCCCCTTATTTCTCACCATGCAGTACCTTGGTAGGCTGAGAACATGCACACTTCGTTACACCGATGGATTTTCCACTTCCACCTATTTCTTTAGGGTTTTGCCCCCCCAACCCCCGCCCCAGGGGGGATTTTTCAGGGTGTTGGTGTCTCCTTTGACCGTGTGTCCCCCTCAAGAACTGGATTTGCACCCCCTTATTTCTCACCATGCAGTACCTTGGTAGGCTGAGAACATGCACACTTCGTTACACCGATGGATTTTCCGCTTCCACCTATTTCTTTAGGGTTTTGCCCCCCCAACCCCCGCCCCAGGGGGGATTTTTCAGGGTGTTGGTGTCTCCTTTGACCGTGTGTCCCCCTCAAGAACTGGATTTGCACCCCCTTATTTCTCACCATGCAGTACCTTGGTAGGCTGAGAACATGCACACTTCGTTACACCGATGGATTTTCCGCTTCCACCTATTTCTTTAGGGTTTTGCCCCCCCTGCCCCCACCCCAGGGGTGATTTCTCAGGGTGTTGGTGTCTCCTTTGACCGTGTGTGTCCCCCAACAACTGGATTTGCACCCCCTTATTTCTCACCACGCACTACCTTGGTAGGCTGAGAACATGCACACTTCGTTACACCGATGGATTTTTCCACTTCCACCTATTTCTTCAGGGTTTTGCCCCCCCACCACCACCCCGGGGGGAATTTTTCAGGGTGTTGGTGTCTCCTTTGACCATGTGTTCCCCCCAACAACTGGATTTGCACCCCCTTATTTCTCACCACGCAGTACCTTGGTAGGCTGAGAACATGCACACTTCGTTACACCGATGGATTTTTCCACTTCCACCTATTTCTTCAGGGTTTTGCCCCCCCACCACCACCCCGGGGGGAATTTTTCAGGGTGTTGGTGTCTCCTTTGACCATGTTTTCCCCCCAACAACTGGATTTGCACCCCCTTATTTCTCACCACGCAGTACCTTGGTAGGCTGAGAACATGCACACTTCGTTACACAATGGATTTTTCCACTTCCTTCTATTTCTTTAGGGTTTTGGCCCCCCCACCGCCACCCCGTGGGGGATTTCTCAGGGTGTTGGTGTCTCCTTTGACCCTGTCCCCCCTCCAACAACTGGATTTGCACCCCCTTATTTCTCACCACGCAGTACCTTGGTAGGCTGAGAACATGCACACTTCGTTACACCAAGGGATTTTCCGCTTCCACCTATTTCTTTAGGGTTTTGCCCCCCCTGCCCCCACCCCAGGGGGGATTTCTCAGGGTGTTGGTGTCTCCTTTGACCATTTGTCCCCCCAACAACTGGATTTGCACCCCCTTATTTCTCACCATGCAGTACCTTGGTAGGCTGAGAACGTGCACACTTCGTTACACCGATGGATTTTCTGCTTCCACCTATTTCTTCAGGGTTTTGCCCCCCCTACCCCCACCCCGGGGGGGATTTCTCAGGGTGTTGGTGTCTCCTTTGACCATGTGTCCCCCCAACAACTGGATTTGCACCCCCTTATTTCTCACCACGGAGTACCTTGATAGGCTGAGAACATTCAGATTTCGTTACACTGATGGATTTTCCGCTTCCACCTATTTCTTCAGGGTTTTGCCCCCCCTGCCCCCTCCCCGGGGGGGATTTCTCAGGGTGTTGGTGTATCCTTTGACTGTGTGCCCCCCACAACAACTGGATTTGCACCCCCTTATTTCTCACCACGCAGTACCTTGGTAGGCTGAGAACGTGCACACTTCGTTACACCGATGGATTTTTCCGCTTCCACCTATTTCTGTAGGGTTTTTCCCCCCCACCACCACCCCGGGGGTGATTTCTCTGGGTGTTGGTGTTTCCTTTGACCATGTGTCCCCCCCAACAACTGGATTTGCACCCCCTTATTTCTCACCACGCAGTACCTTGGTAGGCTGAGAACATGCACACTTCGTTAACACTGATGGATTTTTCCGCTTCCACCTATTTCTTCAGGGTTTTGCCACCCCTACACCCGCCCCAGGGGTGATTTTTCAGGGTGTTGGTGTCTCCTTTGACTGTGTTCCCCCCAACAACTGGATTTGCACCCCCTTATTTCTCACCATGCAGTACCTTGGTAGGCTGAGAACGTGCACACTTCGTTACACCGATGGATTTTCTGCTTCCACCTATTTCTTCAGGGTTTTGCCCCCCCTACCCCCACCCCGGGGGGGATTTCTCAGGGTGTTGGTGTCTCCTTTGACCATGTGTCCCCCCAACAACTGGATTTGCACCCCCTTATTTCTCACCACGGAGTACCTTGATAGGCTGAGAACATTCAGATTTCGTTACACTGATGGATTTTCCGCTTCCACCTATTTCTTTAGGGTTTTGCTCCCCCTGCCCCCACCCCGGGGAGGATTTCTCAGGGTGTTGGTGTCTCCTTTGACCATGTGTCCCCCCCAACAACTGGATTTGCACCCCCTTATTTCTCACCACGCAATACCTTGGTAGGCTGAGAACGTGCACACTTCATTACACCGATGGATTCACAATGTCCACTTATTTTTATGGAGTTTTTACCCCCCCCGGGGGTGGGGGAGGAATTTCTCAAGGTGCTGGTGTCTCCCCTAACTGTGTGTCCCCCCCCCACAAGCGGTTTCACACCCCACCGCTCACCACCTCGGCAGGCTGAGAACGTGCACACTTCACTACACCGATGGACGGGCAGCTCCCGCTTATTTTTATGGGGTTTGGGGGGGATTTTTCAGGGTGTCGGTGTCTCCCTTGACCATGTGTCCCCCCCCCACCCCTCCACCCCCCAGATTTGACCTGTGCACTCAGGCGGACGTGACAGAGGGGGACGTGAGGGCCTTCGAGGAGACTTGGGGGCTGCCGGTGCTGCGGGCGAGCAGCGGGCCGGGGGGGGCCGGGGG